ATATCGGTTTCTTTGGTCCAAGATGGCTCCTATAAAAAAACTCAGTAATATGATGAAAACTGCCGAGATGGATTCAGAGAAATTGACTCTACTTCTACTTGAATTAGTTGTTTTACAAGTTTCTTTAAAATTCGCCCGAGGCAGCTTTAAAAATCCACATTCACAATTTGAAATGGAAAGCGATATAAATCTAAAAAGATACTCACACGGACTTCTGTCTCGACAGCTGCTGGGATTTCTTTCATAGCCTTCTCCTTAGAAATTACTATAGGAACATATACACCATTCTGAAGGGAGTTCAACTGGCCACCAGTTACCTAAATAAGGCTACGTGAATTTCGTGAGGATTTATGTATTTCACTGAACTCTAGATACTCAAAACACCGATTTCAAAGAAAACTTCGCACTGGTGTATGGGAACGACAATCCAGCATTTCATCGGAGCAACACACCATCTATTGTGCTTTTAAAGGCAATGATCACCATTGCTGGAGGCCGATGCTACTTGATGACGTCACCAAACGTCACTGGTGGTTAAAACCCCACAGCGCGCTGGGGGCGTGATTGGGATTGTCCCTTGACCTCCTTCACCCAACCACGTACACAATCTACAGCCATCGCGATCGCTGCCTTTGATGCAGAAGCAAGCATATCCATATCCATCGCTGGATTTGCCGATTGGGACACCGACTTTGCACTCAAAGGGAAAGAAATAGTAAGATACCTGTAGAGGTCCACCTCTCTTCGGAGGAAGTGTTCCAAGAACTGCATTCAGATCATCAATGCATTCCGCACAACGGTCTTCAAGCACATCCGAATCCGAACGTTTACAAAGATCAATGAATTCAAAATCTGCCGGAGTCACCCTTCAAAATGCCAAACTAGTCATTGAAGTAGTTGAAACCTAAGGTTTTGACGAACTTTTCATCATATGCCAAGGGAAGCCACTTGACGAATGTAATTCCACAACGGCCGCTCATTGCCAAGCAAGTCGGCAAGACGATCGCAGAACTCAGACTCGTTTAATGTTTGTCCTAAAAACATGAAACTCCACATTCCAAGTACAAATCCAACAAACAAAAGTAATTGACGCTGAATACGAATGGGGGGGGGGAGATGTAATCTACAAAAAGCAGTTATTCAATTTTTTTTCTTGTTTTGTTTTGCACAGCCTTTGCAGTGAGGTGCAGTGCAGTATGATCTCTTCAGACAATACGCAAGGAAATGAATAATGAAAATGAATGAATATTTAGTAATTCTGGAAAAATTTGAGGTTTCTCGTATTTGTTCCCGAAACCCACGGCCGTCTGATGTTCTGTTTACCTCAAAGGCAGACGCTCACAAAAACACTTGAGGCAAACAAAGTCCCAACAGTTTCTGTATTGTGATCTAGCAGATTTTCCTGGTTTTTTTTTCTTATGTATGAGCACTCCAGCAGCAGGACGCGCATTTCGTGGACGCGGAACATTACATTTACCACTGGCGTCAAAGGGTGAATAAAGTGCGATTCACTCACCCATACTGCCAATAGTTTTTAAGAGACTTCGTGTATTCGAACTGCGAGAACGAGTGCCATGACAGTACGCCTGAAATGTACAATAAAGTATGTACTGGAGTGCTCTGAGATGATGTTTGCTTTATGAGAAACCCTAGGTTGGAGAATCAGACTGCTCAAATCGGGGGAGTTAATATGGCCCGGTATGCCATCGGCCGCTAAGCCAAAAACGGCAACCACGAACTGCAGAGTGGATTCAGTGGTATACAACGGCATCCAACTCTAGTTACTCGTTCCGCACAAGCTCGATACAATTATGGGAAATGGTACGTTACGGAGATTTCGGGGTAAACCTCGACGTTGATTCTGATACAATTTTCTTTGGAAATATGTGGAATTTGTTTGCAGACATAACCTACGAAAACCGTTACAGAATTCTAGAACAGGCTTCTCCAATGCATATATTGTTAGAAAGACTTGTTTGTGTTTGTTAACTGCTGTTCGGAAAACGGAAAACGAGGGGTGCGGGTTCGAGTCCCGGGGCCAAAGTTTTGTTCACAACCCAGCATTCTTGTGAAACGTTAGGAAGACTGTCCTCTAGCAGAAACCGACAAATTCCTGTCGCTTATGGGATTTACCCAAAATTCAATTTGACGATCCCCTCGTCATCATCTGAAAGATGCTCCTGATGGATCCAATCAGACAAAAATCTGGCTGTTCCAACTTCTTCTCCACAATGGCCTTTTGTGAGAGCATGACCTCGATAAAGACGATAACCATAAAGATTCGTTCCACAATTACATGAATGTCCCTGCGAGATCTTTAGCAATCTTCTAGAGGCCGACCAGTCCACTGCGCCCAATCTTAGGAATCGATTCTGAAGTGAATTTAGGAATCTGGGGTATTCCTTGTATGTGTTCTATGTGGTCTACTTGACCCTTGCTTGGTTCAAAGATTCATTCGCCGCTCGAAAGATGTGGTTATTTAGCGCGAGAATGCAAGTATAGCATTCTTTTGCCTTTTTCTTCGGTGAGTTCACTGAAGAAAAGGGCAAAAGAAACTCTCGAAACACTGGAAATAAGAGCCTATCCTCAAGAGATGAGTGGTGTTATCACGAAAAGAAAGCGCGAAGGAGAGAGAACAGATCAGAAAGTATTCGCGACAGCAAGACGATTCTAAGTCGCGTAGGCCGTTCCACCACGAATAACAACGGTAGCCGATTCAAACCACAATGGTCCCAACTCATTTGTTGCCCACCTTCAAGGAACAGGTACGACACATATTTTTCTTTTCTGTGAATGAGGGCTAGAATGTCTATTCTACTCAAAAAGGGCTTCATTCACTTCCAGCGGGATAAATGGTAGATAAAACAGAAAAGAAAACCGTGAGGAAAGTATTTAGGCACCTAGTTATTGAGAATCCTTTCTAGTTTCAGAAAAGAGAAAAGGAAACGATAGCACAATGGATGAACTCACTTCAATGGCTAATAACATCTGAACAGCCCCGTGATACGCTCGACGAAGAGGACTTGTGAGTAGTTCTGGCGGCAACACCGCCTCATCTGCTAGCAATGAGAGTAAGACCAACACGTCCGCATGATTTGGAAACAGTACGGTCTTGAGGCGATCGAACTGCTGAAATCTGAGCATGTTACCTATGTAAGTGAATCACGAGCCATCCAACCGCAGTTATTCACCAAAAATCATTGCACTATTACGGAGCCCCCCTCCTCTCTCGCGTTACTCACTTTCAACTACCTACACTTACGCGACTGTAGTTACGAACGTAATTATTAGTATGAATGATAGAGCACTTACCGTCTCCATATTATCTGAGCCGAGCACAATGCGTTCAACGGTACGCCATACGTCCTGATGCATGAAGGTGCGCTGCTTGACGTCCATAGCAATCTTTCTAGCAAGGCTATTCATTTGTCGAGCTCGGTGATGAGGATTTTGCATGCGCTCCAAACCCATCCGCTCCTCAAAAAAAGTAGACTCATGCTCCATATTCAGATATTCATCGTAACAGTCCAGGAAACTTCGATTTTACTATTTCTTGTGACGTTTCT